CATTGAGGACTTCTCCCGACTAGCTGCACCTATGACGAGATTGACCCGGAAGGAGGTCAAGTTTCAGTGGGATGATTCGTGTGAGAAGGCATTCCAAGAATTGAAGAGGAGGCTTACTTCAGCTCCTATTTTGATTGTTCCAGAGAGAGGACAGATGTACACCGTGTACTGTGATGTCTCTAAGGACGGACTCAGTTGTATTTTGATGTAGTCCGGGAGGGTGGTGGCTTATGGTTCTCGGCAGCTGAAAAATCATGAGCGAAATTATCCCACGCATGACATAGAGTTGGTGGCCATTGTCTTTGCCTTGAAGACTTGGCGCCACAATTATACAGGAAGCAGTTCGAGGTATTTTTGGACCACAAAAGTCTGAAGTATATTTTTACACAATGGGACCTCAACATGAGGCAATGCCGGTGGATGGAGTACTTGGAAGATTATGACTTCACTTTGCATTACCACCCGATAAGGCAAATGTGATAGCTGATGCACTCAGCCGAAAGTCGCGGGGAGTCTTGGCTAGTGTGGCTTCCCAAAATGGCGGATGCTCAAGACTATGAGACAGTTTGGGCTACGATACATGGGTTAGGCTCAGGGTATTTTAGGGAGTTTGGATGCTACGCCCTCCTTACTGAGCAGAGTGATCAAGTCCCAGAGATAGGACACAAAGATTTTATTCATTAGGGACTGACTGCAGGCGGGTACCGGTGATGAGGGCTAAGCCATTCACTCGGATGGTAGCCTTTGGTATAGGAGAAGGGTTGTAGTTCCCTAGTTAACGGATCTAAGAGAGGAGATCCTCAAGGAGTTTCATTGCTCCCATTTTGTAGTGCATCCAGGTGGCACGAAAATGTATCATGATCTTCGTCACCAATACTATTGAAACGGGATGAAGAGAGACGTTAGGAATTTTGTTAGCCGATGTCTCACGTGTCAGCAAGTAAAGGCTGAGCACTAGAGATCGGCCGGATTGCTCCAGCCTTTGGAGGTAGCAGAATGGAAGTAGGAGCACGTCACGATGAATTTTGTGACTCACTTACTACGGACATCGCGAGGAGATGACGCAGTATGGGTGATAGTGGATTGGCTCACCAAGTTGGCACACTTTTTGGATATGTGGATGACTTTCACACTGGAGGAATTTTGCAGGTTATATATACGAGAGATTGTTCGGTTACATGGGGTGCCCGTATCGTGGCCTCCAAGATGAAGAAAAGGTCGATTTGTGGCCTTTGACCGTGAATTTTGTAAAACTTTTGAGAAAAACATATATTTTGGCATATAAATATGTGAAATCGTTGTAATAGAACTTGTATGTATCAAGTCTTATGTGGAAAACTATATTTTACAAGTTTGAGATATTTGTGGGAAGGTTTGGAATGAATTGAAAATGAAAAATAGGTGAAACAGATAATTCTGGGCAAAACCTTCCGGAAGGTTTGGACAAAGACAAGGAAAAATTGTTGAACAGTGGGTGAAACCTTCCGGAAGGTCTTCACATTTTTCTAAAATGAGGGAATCCAGTGTGTAACTTCTTCCAGAAGGTTGAACACACCTTCCAGAAGGTTGACACATCTTTCTTAAAAATGGGATTCCAGTATGCTCGATCTTCCAGAAGGTTGAGGAAACCTTCCGCAAGGTCAACTTTCTGGAAGTTTTATAAAAACCTACCAGAAGGTTCTCACAAAATTTCAAAATTTTGAATTCTTTCCCTCAGTTCTTGGGCAATCTTTCCTCTTGTTCAAGGGTGTCTTATGGGATAAAATGACTATAAATTAATGTGTAAAGAACCACGGTTGTATGGGTATAGTCCCGGGTAAGGGGTTAGCTTTGACGTGATGTTAGGTGGTATGACAATCGTGGGTACTTCCGCGAGTTGACAAGTGGTCAACGGTTGATAAAGGGCTCCGGTTTTAGGGGCGTCACATCCATGATCTGACATGGAACTATAGAGGAGCGGGTAGACAACGATTGGGAAGAGCAAATGGATGACATATATAGGAATCACACCCTAGATGTCATTGTTTTAATGGAGACAAGGATACTAAGTCGTGTGTTTGGAAATTTCTTTCATCAATTTGGAATTATCAGATCAGAGATAGTCGAGCCCATTGGGAGATCAGGAGGAATCTAGATGTTTGAGGACCCTTCAAGAGTCGCAGTTCAAATCCAAGAATCTTCAAATCAAGTCTTCCATGCATTGATCACGAGAATAGGATACGCATGCTGGATTTTCTCCGCCATTTATGGTAGTCCAGTAGCCGCTAACTGAGAGGAGTTATAGAATAACTCAAGTAACATGGGAGGAAATACTAGTCAACCATGGCTAGTTACTGGAGATTTCAATGACTATTCCTATCAAGACGGAAGGAGAAACACTACTTACGAGAGAAGTAAAAAATATAGGAAGTTCTAGGAACATATAAACAATTGAAACCTCTTGGACTTGGGGTGCAGTGGATCCAAACTGACTTGGACGAACAAGAGAAAGGGGATGGCCAAACCCTTCCAACGATTGGACAAAACGCTTGCAAATTTAGAATGGACAATTCAATTCCTGGAAGCCAAAGTCTAAAATCTACTTTGCACAAGCTCGGACCACTGTCCAATACTCCTCCACCCATCAAGTACTCCTAAAACCTCTCCTCTTATTAAACCTTTTCGGATTGAAGCAGTATGAGACCACTAGGGAAGACTTCAAAGATATTGTTTCACAAGCTTGGTTTAAGTGTAATAACTCCTTATTTGAGGAAACAAAACTAATTGTAGAGGATGCCAAGGAATGGAATAGGGAAGTATTTGGTAATAACTTTAAAAGGAACAGAAAATTAATAGCTAGATTGGAAGGTATGCAAAAAGCCCAAGAAAGATGATATTACCCATATCTAGAAGAATTGGAAGACACTATGTTAAAGGAATACCATACTACACTTGAACAAGAGGAGATCCTTTGGCATAAAAAAATGTAGAGCTAACTGGATCATTCACAGAGAAAGAAACATTAAGTTTTTCCATGTCTTCACCCTTGTAAGAAGGAAAAAGAATAGACCCCAAGCACTAAAAGATCACCTATGTAATTGGACAAATAACCAAGAGGAACTTATATTCAAACCCTTTTTTCCCATTTTATATATAAAGAGTGTAATTTTCTTATGTGGCACGTTTGAAGAGTTCCAACCAAAACTCAGAAAATGATAAAAACTTCCTCCTATTCCTCCCAACTGACCAGGAAATAAAGCAAGCAACATATAGTATGAAACCATCTAAAGTCCCTGGCCTAGATGGTCTTCAAGCCTTATTCTTCCAAAAATATTGGGGAATTGTAAGAGAATCAGTATGTAAAGAAAGTAAAGAAAGCTTTATAAAGAAACAATGTCCACAACAGATGAGCAACACGTTCATCACACTAATTCCAAAAGTTGAAAATCCTATGTAAATCAATTAGTTCAGACCTATCAGTCTCTGTAATGGAAATTATAAAATTCTTTCCAAGTTTTTGGTGGCCAGAATTAGATCAAAGTTAGAAGAACTGATAAGCCCCAATCAAAGTAGTTTTGTACTTGGAAGGAAAACGACTGATAACAATATAATTACCCAGGAAATTGCCCAATTCCTTAGGAGGAAAAAAGGCAAGGCAGGGGAAATGATCGTAAAGATTGATTTAGAAAAAGCTTATGATAGATTAAGCTGGTCATTCATCCAGCAAACTCTAGAACATTTTAATTTCCCTAAACTTTGGATTGAGCTAATAATGAGCTATGTAACAGACAATAACCTTTCAATTATTTAGAATGGATCTCCTTTATATACAATTAAACCAGAAAGAGGACTTAGATAGGGAGACCCATTGTCACCCTATTTATTTGTTATATGCATGGAAAAGTTAAGCCATATGATAAAAGAAAAGGTTGGACAAAAAAAATGGAAAGGCCTTTAAGCCTCCAGGAATGGATCAGAAATCTCTCATCTTTTCTTTGCTAATGACATCATTTTGTTCTCAAGAGCCCAAGAAAAAGACTATAAAATGATTAAGAAAATTCTCAAGGATTTTAGTAGTCTCTCTAGATTAAAAATCAACCACCATAAGTCAAAAGTTTTCATTTCCCCAAATATTTTTAAGAACACAACAATACATCTAAGCAAAAGTGTTGGTTTAACCCTCACACAAGAGCTAGGTAAATACCTAGGCATTCTTATACTGCACAGAAGGAAGTTTAAGGAGCATTTTCGATTTATAATAGAAAAAATCCAAGATGGAAAGCTAAAAAACTATCCATAGCAGTTAGAGCTACACTAATTCAGACAATTTTCTCAACCATTCCAAATTACACTATGTAGACTCAATGGTTGCCCCAATCTATTTATGACCAAATTGATAGACGTAATAGAAATTTCATTTGGGGGGATACAGAGGAGAAAAGTAGAGTTCATCTGGTTAATTGGAACAAAGTTTGTTAACCTAAAAGGGAGGGTGGCCTAGGTCTTTGGAAAAGTAGAGACAATAACTCAACACTTTATGTAAACTTTGGTGGGATCTTGTAAATAATAAGAAATCCATCTGGACTGAAGTCATAAGAAAAAAATACATCCCTCAAGGAACAGAATCTTGGAAAAAGAATTAGAGTGCTTCCCCAACCAGAAATGCTCTTCTAAAAGTGCTAAGTGAGGGAATAGAATGGGCGATTAGGAATGGACAAAAAATTAATTTTTGAAAAAAACGGGCAGTGGGGGCCTTGGATGCCCGTTTGGGTGCTATTTTGGGCAATTTTGGCGAGTTGGCCTGTGTAGAGGGATGTGTAGAGGAAAGGGTGGTGGGCTCCACTGATATGGGAGTGTTGGGCAAGCAGCCTACTTACACAAAGGAGGCGGCAGCTGGGCGCCCCACGCTGAGCACCAATCTGGTCGGCTTAGGAGAGTTAGAGATATCGGAGGATGGGGCTGCAAGTGTGGGCGAGTAGGCCGCTCGTGTGAGTGGAGAGGCGTGCACTGTTGACTGCGCGATGAAGAAGGTGGGCGAGTACTACACGATGGAAAGGGAGATGCCTGCTGCCATGCGCAGGATCCATGGGAGCCAGGATAGCTGGCTGGGGCAAGCAGGGGAGGCGCCTCTGCTGGGCGTGCCTCACAAGCGAGCGGCTCTGCTGGGTGCACATCACAGATGGGTGCTGGGACTGCCTCATAGGTGATCGGGCAGTCAGGTTGTGCGGGCAATAGGCGAACAAATCAAATAGTTGGTGAGCAGGTGACGTAGGCTAGTGGGCCAGCAGACCAAGGGACCGAGTCAAGGTGAGCAGGCCATGGAATGCCCGCAGAGATGATGGGTGGCAACTGCGGGGTGCCTATGGTTCTAAGTGGAACTACTCAAATAGTAGGCAGCTACTTTGAGGCGCAACTAGCCACAGGCACCTTTGGTAGCAACAATTCTGATAATGCAAATGATCTGGCTCCGTTAGGAGGTTCTCCTCAAAGTCAAACTCCTCAGTACCCCCTGGTAGTGGCTCGGGCATCTCTTCATTCCCTCACAATAAAAAACATCGAGGAAAGGTAGTCCTTGATGACGATGGGTCTAAAATAAGTACTATTTTCAGCACTTTAAATTTAGATGCTGGTATTTTGTGGATTGTCTCCACCTACAACATTCCTCCGACTATCCTGTGCCATTGGGCTAAGATGGGTAAGCCCGTTTGTGACAACTCCTCTGGTGACCTTTCCATCAATGAGGATATGTTTGAGGTTGGGCTCCAGTTCCCCATGTCTTCTTATATCTGCAGTGTTTTACATTACTTCTCACTCACACCGGGTCGGTTGTCGTCCAATGGTTAGAGGGTTTTGCTGTCCTTTTTGGTATTGTGGAGGAAGGTGCATCATGAGGATGCCTCTTCTGTCGAGTTTCATGCAGCTTATACTTTAAGCGAGACTCCTGCTCCTAATGGGGGCTGGTACTACTTTACTACAAGAGATAAATTGAGTACCGAATTGCACTCCAATTGTCACAGCTGGAAGTCTCGCTTTATATTTGTTGGTGGAGAGTGGGTTGCCAAGGCCGATAGGACTTTGGTACCAACAGGATGGGCTACTCCAAAAAAACTTGGTACACCCTTTACTTACTTTCTATCCTTTACCTTTTTTTTAGTTAACATGCCTCTTGTAGATTCTCCTGTGCTCTCTAGGGACCAAGAGTGGAAGTTGCAGGCCATGAGGGCACATCTTGAAAAGATGTTGGAGTTCTTATGCCCAAAGACGATGTTGGGGCTAGTGGATCTTTTTCGGGATCCTCTTTGAAAAGAAAGAGTATGTTGATTCTCTTGTACATTTCCCCCCTTGGTGTTTTTCATCTAGATAACCCTTTATTTCCTTTACAGCAGTAGATAGAAAAGTGATTGAGTCCCGTCTTTCTAGTAGGAGCCTTCCTCCTCCTAAGGTGGTGAGGACGGGCGATGCCTCCCAGGTGACCTCCCCAATGGTGCCACCCAAGGTGTGCTCTCCTCAAGCAACCCCTTCAGTGGTACCCCGAGCACGCTCCCATCAAATGACCCCTCCAGTGGTGCCTCCTCAGTTGGAAACTACTGCAGTTGCATCTCCTACTCCAGAATCCCCCTTGTTGGCCACACATTCTACCTCTTGTTTATCCACTCCTCCTATGGGAACTTTCATAAGGGCACCGATTCAGATCAGCTCTATGTTGGGTAACACGCCAGTTATAAAGGATTGCCTTGGGAGGTTTGTGTTTCCCAACGATGTTAGTGAGATTAATGCTCTGGGCACCAAGGGAATCGTCAACTCTTTTCTGGAAGGCCTAGCTTAGGTAAGGGTTTATCGTCTCCCCTTCTCCAGTTCTTTCTTAAGCTTTTGACATTTTTTTGACTTTTATCCTTCTTCGGGCTTCTAATGCATCTATGTGTTTACTTTCAAGGGCCTACTATCACGGCCATCTGAAGCAGAGTCATGAATTGGTGCAAAAGGAGCTCCTTATTGCTCAGGGAAAAATTGCTGAGCATGAAGCTATTGACAAGACTTCTGAGGCTGATCTTGTGGCAACCCATGAGAAGGTGACTAAGCTTGAGACTGAGCTTTCGGCGACCCATGAGAGGGCGGCCAAGCTCAAGGTTGAGCTTGTGGAGGCCTGTGAGAGGGTGACTAAGCTTAAGTCTGAGCTTTTGGCGACCTGTAAGAGGGATGCGCTTAGGGAGGCTGAGCTTGTGGAGGCCCATGAAAGGGTCACGCTCAAGAATGCTGAGCTTGCAGAGACCAGCGAGAGGGCCATGCTCAAAGAGGTCGTTGCAGAGGCAGAGGTGAAGGCTACTCAGGAGAGAGCTTCTCACACTAAAGTGGACCTGAAGAATGGCCTTACAGACGCCTTTATTGACGGTTATGAGGAACTCTGAGGAAAGATTTCTATTGCTTTCCCTCATATTGATGTCTCAGGCTTCTTACCAACTTAGGCGTCTGATGATAGTGATGGAGGCTCTAACGATGCCAAGGGTGATGATGAGGAGGAGGACGACGACGACGACCGTGAGAGTAGTTAGAGTGCTAGGGACTTTTGATTTTTTTATTTAAGAAAGCATTTTGTAGCTCTACTTTTGTAAAAGTGGTTTTTTCCATTGATGCTCCTTTAAAGTTGAATACAAAAATACAAAGATCTTTTGGAAGTAAATCTAGAAAGTTTTATTTATTCACTGCTCATGTCAAGCAATATTGGGTAATAGCCCCCAAAAAAGTACAAAAAATAAAAATCAAGTCCCCAACTTTTCTACTCTCTTAAGGTGTCACTGATAGTACCTCTTTAGGTGCTAAGCGTTCCATGGATGGGGTAAGACCTTCCCCTCAGAATTCTGGATCCTATAGGTGTCTGGCCTCACCACTTCTGTTATGAGGTAGGGTCCTTCCCAGTTTGGTCATAGTTTTCCTTCGTGTGAATCCTTTATGGCGAGGATCACTTTTTTTAGCACCAAGTCCCCTAGTTGGAAGGAACGAGGCTTCACTCTTGAGTTGTAGTATTTTACCATACGCACTTGTACTCCGCGTTGCGGACCATAGCTATCTCCCTTGCCTCCTCTACCAAGTCGAGATTAATGCAAAGTCCTTCCTCGTTGGTGATGGGGTCGTGGTGTTGGACCCTTAGAGAATGTACTCCTATCTTTATAGGGATAACTGCCTTAGTTCCAAAGGCGAGGGAGAAAGGGGTTTCTCCGGTTGGAGTTCTTGGCGTAGTCCGATAGACCCACATTACGCTTGGGAGTTCGTCAACCCAAAGACCCTTCGCTCTTTCAAGCCTTGTCTTTAGGTTGTGTAACACGGTTCTCACCATGACTTCAGCTTGTCCGTTTGCCTGCAGGTGTGCTGGGCTGGAATGAGGCTACTTTATTTGAAGGTGGGAGTAGAAGGAGTTCAGAAGCTTGTTGTCGAACTGTTTGGCATTGTCGCTGACAATGGCATGTAGTATCCTAAAGCAAAGAACCAGGTATTTCTAGATAAAATCTTTCACCTTTGTGTCTATTATCTTTGTTAAGGGTTCAACCTCCTCCTATTTAGTGAAGTAGTCCACCGCTGCCACCACAAACTTGCACTGTCCTCTACTAAGGGGTAGGGGGCCTAGGATGTCGATGCCCCATTTGGAGAAGGGCTACGGACTTGTGATGACCATGAGTTCCTCTGGTGGCTGCCTAGACACAGCGGTGAAGCGTTGACACTTGTTGCACTTCTTGACGAATTCCTTGGCGTCCCTCACCATGCTAGGCCAAAAGTAGCCTTGTTTGAGTGCCTTGTGGGTGAGGGACCGTCCTTCGCTTCCGAGGATGATGCGAGCCTGGCGAGCTCATCTGTAGTCATGTTGTCCTCCCTCAAAATGTGGCAGATTTGGAAGTATTGAAACTTGGCGATCAAGGCTTTCACTATGGCAAAGTACTCTTGCACTCTGGCTCCTTTTGCCTCGAATTCACCCTTCACTTGATTGACTATCAGTTGTGAATCGCTATAAGTGTTGAGGTGTTAGGCTTCCATCTCAATTGTCAATCTGAGGCCAGACATGAGTGTCTCATATTCTGCCTCATTGTTGGAGCCAATGAAGTGGAACTTCTCAACATACTTGATAGGAGTGCCTTCGGGGCTGATCAGGATTAGGCCTGCTCCATTTCCTTCATTAGTTGAGGATCCATCTACATAAAGGTTCCAAAAGGGCGGAGAGGAGGGCTCAGAGATCACTGTGGGATTAGGTTGGGGCGACTAGGTGCCAGACTGTGGCGCCTATGCACCTGAGATGGCTTGGGCGCCTGGTTTACGCACTCGGGAGTCTGGCCTGGGTGGTTTGCCTAGGTGTTTGAGTGTCCTCGCTGGGCATCTGGTTGTCCTCGTCGCGCATCAGATTGTTTTGCGCGTTAGGGCTCAATGTTTGAAGTATGGAAGGCTCATTGGTCTCCTCCTCTGCTGGTGTAGCATTAGTAATAAAATTTGCCAAGACTTATACTTTGATGGCCGCCCTTGGCTAGTACTGGATATCGAACTCGCCCAGTTTCACTACCCATTTGAGGAGTCTCCCGGATACATTCGATTTTCCCAAGACTTTCTTTAGAGGCTGATCCATGATCACAACAATGGTGTGACTCTGGAAATAGGGTTGTAACTTGGGCGGACTCACTCGATTTCAACTCGAGTCCAACTTAAAAAAATTAGGGCTTGAACTAGAGTTTTTAATACTTGAGTTAGACTTGGGTCAAAAAAACCCAACTTGAATTCAATTTAGGTGGGCCTCGAGTTGACCCCTATGGTTATCGGGTTGAACCCGAATATTAAAATCAGGTTCAACTTGATTTAATATTTGGGTTCAACTCAAATATACATAACCATATAAATACATTTTTAAGTCTAGGGTTAATCTGTTCTGAAGTCTTCATTGTGCGCCTCCCTTACTCACTATTTAAGAAGTGAACTCTATGTTTGTACAAGGATTCTGGTTGTGTTTATTTGTGTTATTTATGGTTGTGGTTGCATTAACTCAAACATTGAATTCTTAAGATTATGGTTTTTATGTTAAAAACTTGATTGAAGTTGTTGGTTGTTAATTTAGGTGAATATTATGCAATATATGTATCAGGTTTAGAACAACAAGTCTATTTTGAGCTCAACCCGATTTGAACCCGTAAAGTTGTCCGAAATCATTAACCTGAATTTAAACCCAAGTCTGCCCGAATTAAACTCGGGCAGTGCTCGGGTTGAGTCCCTCAACCTGAGGTAGGGTTAAGGTTAGAGTTGAAGATTATATACCTAGGGTTGAGCTAGGGTTGACTGTCTAACCCGCCTGGATTGCACCCATATCTGGAAATAATATCTTAGACGCCTAGCTATAAAGATGAGGGTAAGGGCTAGCTTTTCTAGCCTTGAATATT